CTGCTTTCCATTAAACAGAAATTGGGGAAAAAATAAACAGGGGAGCTAATAATTCTGACTTCAACTGTATATACTTTCATATATATATATACATATATACATATACTGTATATATATAACATATATATATATATATATACATACACACATATACATATATACACACACACACACACACACACACACACTTTAGTTTCTGTAAGCTTTGCGTTTTGACTGTTTGGCACTATCTTGTGGCTAAATAATGTGCAGGTTAGTGTATACTCCATCAGCAGCTGTTTTCGTTTCTGCCAGCTTTTCTTTTGACAGTCTGGCGCCATCTTGAGGGTCAATAATGTGCTGGTTAGTGTATACTCCATCAGCTGTTTTCATTTCTGTCAGCTTTGCATTTAATTAAACAATAAATAACCATTACAGCTCAGAACATTTGGCATTAAATTTGTATGTTTTGTGGCAAGTAGTCATGTAAGAAGAGGGATAAAGTACATCCAGGCAGTTGTTTTCACAGAATAAATCCCTTCAGTCTTATACAACAGTGCCCTGCTTAACGCCGAGCTGCAGATAAACCGGTTTTATTTTGTGATAACAACCTCCTGGCAACTAAAGTGCAGTCGGTGTACCTGCAGATGACCCAGTCCAGAGCATTAGGAGAGATGTGAAGCGCAGACTTGACCAGCGGGTTATTGAGATACAGTGTTGATGGAGTGGAGTTTGTGCATGGAGGATCCAGCTTTGTAGATTTAAACAGAGACACCACTCCTCGCATTTTCTGATCAAACAACAAAAACACTCAAGCAGATTAACACTCAAAACAACACAGAAATTAGTTTCCATTATTAGGATACCAACTTGTTTCGTAGTCTCGTCTTTTGTTTAAAGGCACAATATATTATTTTCACCACTAGAGGGAGTGCATTCACAACAAACAAAGTCATATTTTGATAAGGTTGTGACGGAGTGTGAAATTATAGGAGTTGTGATCTACATTACATCCAAAGGAACTCCAGAAATCATGTTGATGGATGTCTTAAGTATTTATATTGTGCCATTAATAGAAAAAACTAATATACAAACATGACTTTAAAAGAAAATATATGATATATGTTCCATATCAGCAACAATGGCTATTTTCATGGCAAAAAAAACATTACATAAAAACTACAAACAAATGAATAAATAGATTAGATAAGATTTTTTTAACATTAAAATTTAATAAAAAACTATCAAACTACAAATATGAGACAAATTAGAGCAAAAAAAAAAAAAGCTGACAATTCTTGAAGTGAGCTGGTGGTTTATTTCAAATTAGTTTGACAAGTTTTCCCTCCTTTTAAAAGCAAAAATACTTGAACAAAAATTCACAGGAGGGCTAAAAATTTAGGGTGCTTTCACACTTGGTTCAATTGCCTGAACTCAACCAAAGTTTGATTGTCCCACTTGCCACCTTCTCGGCTAGATTGTGTTTACAGTCTTTTTTTTTCCTTCTGAACCCCTGGTACGCTTAGTATACTCAGTAGCTATGTTCATTCATTCATTTTCTTGTCGGCTTAGTCCCTTTATTAATCCGGCGTCGCCACAGCTGAATGAACCGCCAACTTATCCAGCAAGTTTTTACGCAGCGGATGCCCTTCCAGCCGCAACCCATCTCTGGGAAACATCCACACACACAGTCACACACACACTCATACACTACGGACAATTTAGCCTACCCAATTCACCTGTACCGCATGTCTTTGGACTGAGGGGGAAACCGGAGCATCCGGAGGAAACCCACGCGAAGGCAGAGAGAACATGCAAACTCCACACAGAAACGCCAATTGAGCCTAGGTTCGAACCAGCGACCCTCTTGCTGTGAGGTGGCAGCACTACCTACTGCGCCACTGCCTCGCCTTACAGTAGCTATGTTTTCATTCAAAAATGTGAATTAACTTTGTGCAAAACTGGAATTTCGCATAAAAGACGCATGAATAAAGCAGCGTTTCCATCCAACGAGTCAAAGCTAACAAAATCGGCACTTCCTGATTAACTGGTGCCAAATATTAACAGTAAAAACGGAATTTGCTGCGGTATGAGAAGCTGCCTCAATCTTTTCTTTATTTAATAAATGACTTGTGCCTTAGAAAGCAGTCCTTTTGGTGGCATTTGAAGGCGTCAGACACAGAGCACAGACGCTGTTGATTCTGGAGGTCATTAATAACACTAATACTGAGATGGTTAAGGCGTCTTAGAATGACCAAAACAACACTTCAGATGTTTTACAGTGTGCTCAGCCTGCTGGTTTATCTATTCGCACACATTTCTTTCACCACATGATCTCTTATAACAAAAATCACATGACCTTTTTTAATGCCAATGTTTTTATGCACATTTTCATAACTTATGCGCATCATAGCGTTTTCATAAACCAGTTTATGCGCATAAAAATAGGTAGATGTAAACGTAGCTATTGAGCTGCTGTTGTGTGCTGTTGTTTTGCCAGGTGACTGCTACAAAAGCAAAGCGCCAAAATGGAAACACATCCACACATCGCGGTCTTTCTCTCAGTCTCTTGGTTTTGGACATACAGAAAGCGACTGTCTGTCTGCTGCAGAAATATTATAAACGTTCAGAACATCACGCAATGTCTGCAGAAGCTGTTTTTGGAGGAGACAAGCAGACATTATCACTGTGCTTGACCTGGCTCAGTCTCGCTTGCCACCAAGGTACATCACGTGATACACAGACACACACAAACATGAATGAACATTATGAAAATGATAGTTTGTTGTACAGTAGATGATTCACTTCTGTTATTTGGTTCAATTGCATTCATACCAGAAGTGAACTAGACTACTCATTCAGGCGGACTCGGGTACGATTCACGGGTGAGGTAAACGTATCGAACTTTGACATCAAACGAACCTGGGTGTAGACCAGAAGTGCTAGTGTAAAATAGGGCTGGGCGATTTAGCAAAAAAAAAAATCTAGGTTTTTTTTATAAAGTTTGACCGATTCACGATTTCGATTTTTTTTATTGTGTTACTAGTCTTCTCAAAACATTACAACAACATGACTGAAGTAGCATTCTCTTTATAAGTAACTTGAAAACCCATCTGGTTAAGGAACATTGTATTTTTAATGGCCATGTCATACAAAAATCTGTCAAGGTGTAAATAAATGTAAAACAAATTCACGAGTTAAATAGCGTTGCAGAAGATTTGAATAAGAAATATTTGTGTAAATATTGCAGTTGCAGGAATACAGAGGTATTTTTGCAAGTTTTGCTGAGCCTAGGAAAGATTGGCTGTCAGCTCGGTTTTGACTTTGTCTTCTTCTGATTGAATGACAAGTTGTAAAGCTGCTGCCTTTTTCTTAAAAAGATACAGTGGAAGAAAAGGACTGAACATGGAAACTGTAAAGCCTAATTTAACCCAATGTGTGAGGTTGTGAACGTATAGTAGGAGCAAATACAAGCACCAGGGGCCTCATGTATCAACGTTGCGTACGCACAAAAACTTTGCGTACGCCAGGTTTCACGCTCAGAATCGCTCACGTTTGAATTTACTAACAATGAACTGAACGTGGGAATGTGCGCAGCTTCACGGCAGCTTTCTGGCAGGCGTACGCACATTTTTTGTGCGTGTCTGTTTTATTTCCATTGGTGACTCCTAGAGGCAGTTGTGTTAAATTCCTCTCTACAGAGTGTCTGAGCCTTGCAATGGCAGCTGAATGAGACGGGTTCATCTAGCAGGTAAATAAGGTTTCCATACCATACAGTTGACCAGCTAAACATTAAAGCACAATTTGCAGCAGTCACCTGTTTTCCCAATGTAATCTGAGCTATCTACCGCACACACATTGCTATAAAGACACTATCTGAAGATGAATTTGCATGCGGAAATCAGAAACATTTCCATTCAATAAATGTGCAAATAAAATATGATGCACAAACTTATTGATGATTCCTATTTGTCTTTCTCGTGATAAATAGTTAGCAAAATCTGATATGTAGCGGGGAAAAAAAGAAGAAAGAATTTATCAGACGCTGGATTCGAGCCGAGTTCAGACTCTAACGTGTCAAAACATGATCACATGCGTCTTACGAGCGCGCCACTGAGACTGTTAAGACTACTGCAACATTTTACAGATATAAACCACACTATTTCTTTTTTTAATGCACTCAGTGCGATGTTCAGACCCAACTGTGTTAACCGCATCAGCTAAACTCTCCCACTCTATTTTTTTTCTTTTGTTGTTAATTCCGGAGAACAAACTTGCAAATAACACCGCTTTTCTCTGGTCTACCTCCGAAAGCAGCACCTCCAATTCACATTCTGTTCAAAGTTTCTCTTTTTGCTTGATTTTGCCGTTGCTTTTTCGTTGGGTTTTGCCATTAGCATAGTCATTAGCATATTCATACGGGGGAGGAGGCAGGGAGGGGTTTTGTGCTCGTGCATGTTGCGCTCAGTTTCACGTTCATTCGGATGTACAAAAGAATATGCGTGAGATTCGGCATACGCAGTGTTTCATACATCTGAATTTTTTTCTGCGTACGCACATTTACAGCTTTGTGCGTACGCAATGTTTTAGTATGATTTCCACGCAAGTCTTCGTACATGAGGCCCCAGAAGTGTCTAATATAAAATAATATATTTAATCTATTTTTCTTTTTTCCCCCTTTTAAATACCGATCATTTGATGTGCTTTGCTCCACTCTCTATTATGCTGGCTGATCGGTCACGTTTTCAACTAGGTACGCTAAATGACATCATGGGGGCGGCTACTTTCATTTTCACTGCTACAGTCCCTCACCTCTACTCGTGTTCAAACCAAAAGATCGGCAAGGTTTTTCACATGGCATGCTTTTACGTGCTTCATACATGTTGAGATCGAGTTGAGCGACTTGATGAGGGAATATGTCTTGACAATCCACACAGACGTGACTCAGACTAATGCAACAAGTAAAATCCTACATGACTTCACGCTTTAACAGGCAGTCAAGCAGGTCGCACACCAGAAGCGCCGCGACACGGCGCGCACATGACAGTTTAAACTATCACACACCAGACGCGCACATTCACATGATATTTAACATGAAACTAATCAGATGGCGCTTCGTGGACCGGCTGAAATGAGAACTGCTTAGTGAATCGAGGCTGGGCGGCGCCGGTGTGTGTATAGAAACCTGTTTAGAATTCTAAAATCCATGGTGTGGTGCTGTGTGGCGCTTCTGGTGTGCTTCCCGCTTCATACAGAGAGTGAACCAAAGCGCATTGGTGCCATTTTAATGTATTAAATATATATATATATATATATATATATATATATATATATATATATATATATATATATATATATATATACACACACTCTCTCTCTCTCTCTCTCTCTCTCTCTCT